TCTTTCCCTCTAATATTTTCTCTCTCTCCCTTTTTGTTACAGAAGTGTTGAGTAGCTTGGGTTGTCCATCACACTATCAGATTTTGTGTGATACTACTGAAACAACTCTTTTATTCTACCAGCAGATGGATCTTAAGAAGGAAAAATGGAAACTTCACAGGAATGAAAGTATCAATCCAAGTTAATCTCCATTATTGTACTCAAGTAAAAAAGTCATTAAAAACACATTTCAAACTTACACAGAGCAATGCCTTGTGAGCAGCCAAACACTTAATTGCCATTAACTCCATGAGCAGACTGAACCTCTGAGAACCTGGCTGAAGTATTTTCATTTCAGTGCAGATCATCTCACCTCATTATGTATTTCTTCCACTTGCTTAATAACTGCAGTTTCCAGTGATTTCAAAGATAAAGTCATTGAATCAGAATCAGTCTGTAAATTCTGGAGTGCCAGTTCACATTGTCTGAAAATGTATTCCAATGTTCCTCTTGAACACTACAAAGATACAGTTAAAAAATTATATGTAGTCACTTCCCAAAAGACATTTTTCTCAAATATATTGAACTATTTGATTCTTAAATAATCAACATGAAGGAGTAGAAGGGATGTATTTCTGTAACCTTATTTCATAATCTTTTAAACAAAAGCATAATGCCTCCTGAATTGTCTAAACAGTTATTGACATAAACTATGCAAAGTTCTAATGGATCAAACATCTAGCCAATCAGTATAGCAGGGACTGAAAGGAGAAAGAAAATAATTCCTTTTAAATTTACTTTAAAAATAAGGCATGCAAAAACATAGCCATACTTTCCACTGCTTCCTGGCCAGTTTTTGACAGTATTTCAGAATCAGTTGTATTTGTCTAATTGTATGGGCTTCCCAGTAACCCTAAAAGAGAGCTCCACATCCAGGCTGAGAGAGTTGTTTGCTTACAAGGTATAGAAAATACAAACAAAACAAATTTACACTTTGATTTTGTTTTTGTGAAACTTCATCCAAAATTCAAAGGAAATATGTTAAAAACCCTTTTGAAACAAAAGAAAGAAAACATCTATATGAAGCTTTTCATACTATGAAAGTAAGCATGCATTTTCTAGCAAAATTAAAACAGTTCCACAGAGATGGAAGCAGTAGGTCAGAGAACTCTCAAACTGAGAAAGGAATAATACAGAACTACTTGTTTGAAGATTTACAGTGTACTTTAACCTTATGTCAAAGCCCAGCTCAAGCAAGCCAAGTGTGTATTTGTGAAAGAAAGGTACTTAAGATTCCAACTTTTAAGTATGTATAGGTCCATGTCTGGTGCTATTGCTTCATTTCCATTCCTCTAGAAACTGGGAGGAGTAATGGAGAAAAAAAGTAGTATATGGATACACGTATGTTTCCTGCTTCAGTAGTGGTATATTTCGCCTTAATGAAAGAAGAAACTGGTAACTGTAATCGCTTTAAGTATCCTTTTACAATGCAGTCTGTATGCTCTCCCATCAGAATGCTACACAAACAAGACTGCTGACACCACCATGGAAAGGAACAGGAAGGTCTAGTACTAAAAAAAAAAAAGCACTTGAGACAATCGGGCTGAAGCCTTGTTATCTCAGAACAACTTTGAGACAAGGGACTCTACCACTTTTGATTCTTCAATCCTCAGATGCACAGAAGGATCCAATTTAAAGCATACTGATAACTGCTTTTAGCTGTTCTGACCTCCTAAAGGCCATTTTTGCCATCGGGCTGAAGCCTTGTTATCTCAGAACAACTTTGAGACAAGGGACTCTACCACTTTTGATTCTTCAATCCTCAGATGCACAGAAGGATCCAATTTAAAGCATACTGATAACTGCTTTTAGCTGTTCTGACCTCCTAAAGGCCATTTTTGCCAGTGGACACCGCTGACATGCGTTTTGAGTATTTCTATCCCAACATGAATACTGCATTTCAACTAGGATTGGGATATAAATGCAGCAAAAAAGTTTCAAAACATTTCAGGTGAAAATACAGTTGTTTCTACATTTCTCCAGCAATCCAGGTGTGGTGTAGCACATTTTTCATTTTTATCTTATACACCTAACTGTGAGTTTAGGCAAAATACCAATACAGAAAACAATGTACTTCAATCCAAAAATAGAAAAAATAGCAGTTGTTCAAGAAAAAAATCTGAGTCATAAACATAACTGTGGACATAGTTCTGGATAAAAACCTATCATGTCACACATACAGTACCAGAATATTAGTTTTACAAACAGCCAAGTAGCAAACTATTTTGGATACTTACATCTGCAACTCTGTGAGTTGAGCTGAACCGAGGTGAAAAACCAGCCAGAACACAGTGTTGATGTGTCATATTGAGATCATCTAGGGACAGATTAGGAAACCTTAAGTACAAGGAAGAAAATACACTTAATAAAACTTACTCTGGCTGAAAATCAAATTAAAAATTCCTGTAAAATCACTCCTGGGTTATAGTTTAAGTTAGTAGAGAGAGATAAAAAAAATACACAAAACTATGTGACCTGAAGTGTCACCCAGCAAAAAACTGTCAGACAAAAACTAGAACTAACAAGATGCTAGTTAACGAGGAGTCTGTATTTTCAACAATATTGATTATTTAATGGAATTTAGCTTCAGTCATGTTAATAGGGAATGGTGAAAAATTATCAAGCTTCATCTCTTCATCATATTATTTCTTTGTAAGAGATCAATAGTTGCACACCTGAACCTTCATAGCCCAAATTCTTAATTTCTGAAAATGCACTTCTGACTATGACAGACTATCAGACTGAAGAGAACAGTGTGTGAGGTTTAATTGCATTTTCTTTACCACTTTACCATGCAGTAAGTCTGGAACCTTAAACCTGAGAAAAGTCCTATGAATAAGAGATCAGAAAGATGGTGGAATTTATCCTAGTTGTAAGAGTGTCTTCTGTTTATAAATTTTATAAGCAACTATTAATGAAGTCCAAACCCAAGACATCAGATAGTATCACAAACTTGTAAAAAATAAAAATCAGAAAAACAATTTATATAAGGAATTGGCAGGCAAGTGTTAGGAAACAGTACTGAATATCCACAGGGAAAGTTTGTATGTGAAGCTTCTTTTCTACTTGCATGAGCTTTGCAGATAGGTGAAGTTGCAAAGCTTGAAAAAAAGCTCCAAAACAGACAAATAGAACATAGAAAAAAAGCTAATTTCTACATAAACATATGAGGGCCACAGAACAATATTATATCTGGACATTGCAATATTAAAATATCAGAATCACTTTCAAAAACAACTGCAACAGAAAATTAACCTGGAGTCTTCCACCATCCCATTCAGTGCCCATTCACTGTGGCGTGGTGTATGTAGCAAACATAGCATTAAGAGTATTAGGTTTTGATTTCCACCTTTATTCAAACCCCTGGTAAATCTTTCTTCCTAGAGCTCCCCCTTGAAACTGCTTCCAACTATCCCTAATCCTTTATGACTCTTAAATTAAAATTACAGGCTTCTTTCAAAGAGTTTATAATTAATCCAAAACTGTAATTGTACAAAAAACAGTTGAAGCTTCATGGATTGCATGTCTCAAAGGATATTTGAAAATATATTCTAGGTCTTAAAAGATTACAGTAAAGATTTGCTTTTTTTTTCTTCTAAAAGTATATAAATTGAAAAGAAAAAGCACTCTTTGTTAAATCAGCCATTGTACATTTGGCAGCAAAAGCTTTTATTTAGATACAGACCACTACATCCAGATTATTTAATTGGTCTTAGAGCCAAACCAAAACTGTTGCCTTCTTTGGATACCAATGTCAAAACTACCATAGCTCTCCTGTGGTTTTAGGTAAAATAAAATACATACAGAGTTAACATCAGTTCTACGTGACTAAACACTGATGGGTGAGGTTTGGAAAAGAAGAACACAGCCTCTCCAGCACTGAGTATCACAAAATACACGCATATGGAAGCAGGAACACACATATCAGTCTTGCTTTGGAAAACTTCATGCAGACCAGTTGTGTGCCAGACAGTTCTCCTGAACATGTGGGGAGGTAAGAGACAAAGTGGCATCTTCTCTGCAATGGAACAGTGGGCCCCAGTCTTGCCACAAATTCAGAACACCTATGGCAGGGACATCTAATTTCAATATCTATTACAATAATAAAATCCCACAAAACTTACTCAAACTGTATAATGCACAGAACTGACTTTCTATTCTAAATCACCATTGACACCAACTCAGCAATGTATTTAGTACAGTTTCAAGAATACTCAATCCGTTCTCCTTAAAATAGTCTTCCCTTCCATATGGATACTTACAAGACGCATGTGCCAATTAACTAACTGACAGGTAAGAAAGAAGTTCTGAGAATTGGGTGATAATTTTTTGTTTCCACAACTGCTTCTCTCCAAGCTTACACGTCTATGAAAAATGTTGTCACTTGCATAGACTATTTTTCTGAAGTGTGATCAGTTTTTCTGCTTATTTAGCAATTTTAAACCACTACAGATTTTAAATAATACTTCTAGAAAACAATCAAGAAAAACTAATGAAGTCCAATACATGCTAGAATGTTAACCTGACCAAAGAGAATTTTCTCAATCAAAACCTAAGCACACACAAAGCTATTAACATTTACTTGTATTAACAGGTTACCATTGTGCCACCAGTCGCTATGCAGATGTGGATGATCACTTGCAATTCAGGCAGTCTAATGTCTGACTCAGTTTCCCCAAACTACTGACAATTTAGTAAAGGGCTCATTTGCATTCAAAGGAATACAACTTGGTTGGCAACACACAGTTAGTGACTGAATGCTGGAAAAAAATAACTCCACTTTTCATTCTGAGGTGGAGCACAAGAAGACTATTTCCTGAATAGATGTATATGGCAAAATCCATATTTCTTTTAAACCGATTGTTTTACTCTTTTACTTCTACTATGTTGTGCCTGACACTTACTAATTAATCATCTGCCACCTTACAGCCAGATCCCATTATAGGGCTAGTATAGCTGTGGCAAGACTTACTAAAAGAAATTAATCACATGTATGATTGTGTACAGGTGGCTAAAGCCACCTTGGAAAACAAAGTTATCAAGTTAAAGTCTGTTTATATAATCTGTAGGTCAGATTTTCACCTCACAGATGAAGTACTAAGAAGTCACAAGAATATTCAGCAGGTGATCTGATCAGTTGCAAATGCACACAATTTTTTTTGCTACAGAAACACTCAGATAACACACCTTTATAAAACCAGCTTTTACAAAATGGAGTTTTTATTTAATATGTTGAATGGCTTACACCTGCAGGAAAAATAAAACCCAAACAACACAAAACCATCCAAGGCACTTAGTGTTTTACCACATTTATCTATGCAAAGCCTCCGTAAAGTTGGTAACTGACACAGAAAAAAACTAAAGGTAAGGAGAGGTTAAGGGACTGGCTCAGGTCTGCATGGAAATTCTGAGAGCAGCAGGCTTACAGTTCCTGAAATCAATGCTGTTGTTTCAAAACCTGAACACCCTTCTACTATAAGACATGGACTGTTTTTCTCTCTGTGTGCCCCCATATTGGATCACCTTCTCAGTGATTTTCCCACTATTTACAAGAAACAGGTATATTTTGGAATATGGATGCTGAATAATCTACGTTAAATTGTGAGAGAAAGTTCATGTCATGGATCTTTCATTCCCTCCCCTGTACAGACTTCTGCCATCCTGTTCTTTTGTCAGATACAACAGCACAGAATCATACATCACAGAATCCCAGCACAATCCTCTCCACTGCTTGACACTACTGCCAGTTCCTTTTCTCTCTGATCCTGTTCTCAATCCTTGTCCCTTCTCTGTCCACACATTACTGCATGTTTTCGTCTGGACAGCTGAACTGCCTGAGCAACATCAGCAGAAATGCTGAAAGCCCAGTGCTTCTATAGCCTTTGTCAAAAAGACAAACTATTGGATACATGTACATATACACACTTACCTAGTGTAGCTATACTTAGCTAATTCTGCTCCTGAATTCACTACCAGGTGAGGCGAGGAGCCAAATCACTCAGAAAGAAACAATGACTGTATACCCACGTTATTGCAGACTATTAAGACAACTACAAGGTAGAAAGAAAGGACATTAATTCTTAGCCAATCCTTACTGCAAGGAATAAGGATTAAAGCCCCAAACTTACTACTACTATATAAAGTACTTCCCAGAAAAACACCATGCACAATGGAAAAGGCTCTCATAATTACCAACAGGGCTTTATGCTTTTTCTGTGTTCTTTCAGGGGGTCTATATGAATTATTTAGACAGTTGTCTTTTTGTCACCTATTTCTTGAAGCAGATAACAGGTACAGTGAGGTTTAAAGCACTGCAGAAAGCTTTCATATTCTAAACACCACAATTCTCTACAAATACAGAAGTGAAATGGACTTGTGCTATTAGTTTTTTTAACTAGCATGAACAAATTAAAAAAATGTATTTATTAACCATATTACAGCCCAATTTTCTAAAGTATTAAAATGCTTTTCCACCATTTGCAGTTTGAGTTGTATCCAACTGCACACAATGCTTCAACAGGAGAAAACCAAACCAAGCTAGTTTCACTGTAGGCGTTGTCAACAAAAAGCACCAGGAAGGAAGGTATGTCTCCTTCCCCAAGAAATTGTAGGTCAATGGAATACTACTTTTGTAACAGAAAGCTGGAGGGATGATCTATCCCCAATTAAGAGATATTTCTAGTCTTTTAACAAGAAAATTGTGCACAAACAAAACAAAGAATTAATTAAAAGGCTGAACTGATGAACTGGAAAAAAAAAGTGTCTGGGATTTGCCCAACTTCATGATCAAAGTTTGGTAATGACAAATATATTTCTGGGGTTCAAAGCCTTAATAATCAAGGAATATAGCATTTGGATTAGATGTGGAATCAAGGAAATAAAAAAGGGGGGAGGTTAGGAAACTCCAACACATTCAAGATGCTAGAGAGCAAAGAGGGTTCAAGTTAGTTTGTGGAAATAGAAGCAGATTAAATACCTAGAAATAGTTTAATGAGCCACTATATACATGTGGAAGTGTTTACATTAAGTATTTATCTTGAACCACAAACCAGCCTCTGCAATGTGTGCCCCCTACTTCTGGCTGGTTATGAAAATAATTTTTTGATGCTTCTTGAACTATAATTTGCTGGGGGTGGGGAGGGGTAGGTATAAGATTCCAAGTTCATCTTCATGCTGTTTTAAAACCCTAACCTTCAAGTGAAAGTTTGATCTATGGGAAACAGCTGCAGAAAACTAAATCTCCCTTTGAGAACGTCCAGAACGTATTTTTGTTAAGTATGTTTTGAAGTCATGGTAGGAAAATTAGTGAAAATTGTAAATCTGCTTGCAAATCTGGTTGTGTCTAAGTCAAAGATTAGGGGAAAGATTCCAATTTAATAGTAAGAGCATGACAACCCTAGTTAAGCGTGCTCTAGGACAGAGCAGATGGGGCCCTTTGCTCACCTCCACGCGTTTTGGATTTATTGCATGCACCCAACACGTTTCATATTAGACACCCCTTGACTGTGTACTTGAGACAGCAGGGTTCAGAATGCACTTCCTCTGCAGACCAATATATTACTCTAAATTGAGCTGAAGTGTTTCCGTTTCATGAATGATATAAAGTTCAGATTTGAGTTTTTAGGCAGCAGATTTGCAGTCATTCAGCAGACCTCTTTCTTCAATATTAGGAAACACAAGCCTTCAAAAAAAATTGTCTTAGTGAAAGTAATTTTGTGGTTTTTTTGTTTGTTTGTTTAAAGAAAAATACATGTATATTGCTGTAACAGCTTACTTGAAGGATGGATTTGATCACCCTATGCTTAGTACTAACAGACATTTCAGTTATGTTGTATGATTTCATCTGCAGAGGATTGCTGAGAATGCAGGTGAAAATTCATATTTTTAAAGCTGCATTTTACTAAAATTCTACCCTGAAAAACAAAAAAACATTTTATAGAACCAACAAAGACAGGAACAAGACTAAAAGTCTACTAGAAATGCTACAACACAATCCCAAACTTTTTGTTACTTCGATATACCCATTGATCAAGATTCAAGATACTGTACTTGCACATTACTGTTAGAAATATCAAGTTATCATGTTTTCATATCTAAGATTTGTGTGTACAATATTAGGAAATAGTTGGAGTATTACAGGTACAGAAATTCATAGGACCTAACTTTTTAATTATAAGCAACATACCAAATTTAACATCTCAGTATTTTACAACATTATTTATATAAAGTAGTAGGCCTTATAACCATTTAAGCAATTAGAACAGATGCAGAGAGTTGCTAAGTTTGTTGCTAGACATGAATGAGTCAGTGGTAGTCAAAAATAGTACACAGTCCTATCAATCAGTCCTTGTATATCAACAGCTACTACTAGCTGCAGAACTCTTATCTTAATGGTATATTTTCTAGATGCCTTGCATACTGCTGCCACTGCTTTTGAAACAATGCCAGCACCAAGACTCAGATGCCTCCTTTTTAAAGTCAGTTTAAAAAAAATCCTAAGACTGAAAAATACACTAAAACTGTATACATCCACTTATCTTGTCTTTTACTTCAAGTGAAAATTACAAAGGCAGTCTGCCTCCTAATAAAAGGGCCAGACTGAGAATACTCCCTCAGAACTGTATAAAATAATACTTTCTAAATGTAATTGAGAAAAAATACAAAGGCTCTGGAAATGCAGAAGAGATTATCAAACACCTGGCATACAGAGCTCAAATCTGAAGCTCTTCACAAAGTATTAATAAGAAAGTGATTTACACTTCACCTTCAAAAGAATAAATACATCATTCATTTCCATCTAAACATGATCATGATGTTGTGTGTTTAATAAACTAACTTTCTGCCTCATCCTTTATATAGCATCTCTGATAATACTTCAGTTACTGTTTATAAATTCCATCAGGAAGTAAAAAAAACATCCTTTTGACTGGTAATTCAGTCAACTACAATCATCAGTATTTTGCAATAAAAATACTGAAGTTAGACCCCTTCTCTTATTGCTTGTTCCTTAATCTGTTGTCCAGCAAAGCTGTGTATGCACAAACTTTTCAGTCAGGAACAATTTGATGCCCAAACTGCTATAGCAGAAAAATGCATTAATAATTCCCTTTCTGGGAATGTTTATTTGGCACTGAAACTTTACTTGCATATAAGAAATGTCTCTGCTTCCCTCCAGGATGCTACTCTGTGTCCTCACAAATACAGTAAAGGGAGGCTCTTCCACACCTCTGCAACAAAGGCTCTCACTTCTTAACACTTCATCTGTACATGTCTGAACAAACTTAAGAGCACAGACAATCTAGTTCTTTCATAAAAGACACTTCATCAATGGCAGTGCACAGGGTTTGATGAGGTAACCATGAACAAGGAATGGTGTATATCTTTTAAGACTGCCTACAAATTTAGTGCTTGTGGTAAGCAAACTGTTTTCATACTTGTTATAAGATAAAAGTGAAAGGTAGGAGTGAAAAGACTGTACAGCCCAACAAGTTGGCAGTGTGACAGGTCATTCTAGGGATGTTGTATGGTGTTGACCTTCCAAGTCACAAACACATGAAAGGAAACACTGGAAGCACTCTGTCTTGAAGATGATGCCTGTCAAGCCAAGCCACTACACAGGTACACATAGTGATGTCAGAAGCATTATATGTTTCTAGTTGTGTGATTTATAACTAAATTTGTTTAAACAAAAACAATAACTAGCAGAAGCACAAGCCAAAAGCAACAGATTTTGTGTCAACAAATCTTAGCCACACTTCTTGCCTTACCTTGGAAAAACCTGAGTGTGTGAGCTAAGCTGCTCAAGGTAAGGAATTCAACTTAATTTTCTTTTTCTAATCCTATACTTTAGAGACATTCAGACTCACTTGCAGTATGACAGCTCTGTTCCTTATGATCTTAGTATAATCCCACTATTATAAAATACTATGTTTGAATATAACACATGGAAAAGTGTAACAGAAGTGTAATGTCTAAAACTGATGACCAATAAAACATCCATAGATCGGCATAACGGTTGACACTTCAAAAACCACAGTTCCATTAAGATTGCTACAATCACAGCTTGCATCATGTGTAGCCAGCCTATAAACCAAACTCCAAAACTGGATTTATTTTTTTTTAACATAACAGATGCTCACAGTTACTCAGTAAAACTGCATTAAGAAGAGAAAAAGGAATCAGTATCTAGAAGTACAAGGATGGAATAGACACAACTTAAGTTCTCACAAGATCTGGGGAAATTACGTTACAGCCTGAAGCCTGATTCGGACTAGCAATTCTGACTGCAAAACAGACAAAAGGGTCAAAAAGAGTATTTTCCTTTTGAAGCTCTGAAGTGAAAAAAACACTAGGAAAAAAATGTTCCCCAAAATACAATGGAAGTGGGCAGGTAGGAGGAATTTATTATACACTCTAGCCAGATCTCTTGTCTTTCTAGGTAACGGAAGTCCTATATTAAGGAACGTTTATATTAAAATAAGGGTAATTTTTTCTTGTTTTCAACATAAAGTTCACATTCTTTGCCCTTGAAAATTACCAAGCATCAGGTAGAAGTCTCCTTGGTGAAGTGGTATTGCTAATCCAGGTGTCTCTATGTCCCATGCTACCTTCAAGCCTACATGCCAAACAGCTGGGTCTCTTCCCTTCAACTTTTGTTCATTACTTTCTTCCATGGCTGAACCTTTAAAGAGGGGGAAACAGAAAGATGATAGACAAGGTGAGGACCATAAAATACAGAACAATACAGTCTCAATAACAATACAGACTTGATATCCTACAATCTTAATAAGTTTAAACTTTCTATTATCTCCATTTGGAAAAATCAACATCTTCAAAGTCAGAAATCTGTAATAGGTAAAAAAAAAAATAAAAAATTAAAAGTCATATGAGAACAGTAATTTTTTGCAACCAACTTTTAAGATGAAAACTTCAAGTTAAATATCAGGAAAAGCTAAATCAAGGCAAAGCTTGTATTGGAATTGAGTTGTTCTTAAGTACATGTAATTCAAGTGTTAGTTAATCTTCACTTTTAAATTTTTGTTTACATTACTAAAATTAAAAGCACAGAAGGAAAAAGAAAAAATGCAGCAACACTGATGTAAAAATAAATAACTTCTGAAAGAATTTCAAGTCATAAACTGCCAAAGCACTTTATGAACTATTTTATTTGCTTACATGCTTGCAATTTCAACAAATCATAAACAGAGGCAAAGTAAAGTGAAATAATGGGCACAAACCACAACCTAGACTAATGAAGTTGAGCAGATCTTGGAATGGTATCCATGATTCTTTCCTCAAAATTATTAGTCAAACATGCTAGATAACATGTGCAAGAGCAAACGAAGCTTCAATACATTCGTCACAACATTTTTCTTATCATTAAGTAGCACAAATGCATTGAGCTTGGGGAAAAAATAATCCACTGCATAGAAATAGTATTTAGAGCTTAATCCCTCAGAACTATTTTCAGAAGCTTACTTCAGTGCAGTATAAATTGAAAGATACACTCAGCATTTATAACAAGGTATTTGAGAGCCATGGCATAACCATTTTATGGTGAAAGTAACAGAGTATTTTGACAGAGGGAGGATGAAGCTTTAATAAGCAGTTGGCAGAGAATGGCAGCCAACAGTCAGAAATCATCAACTATGTAGCATGCCTCATTATTGCTTATAAGTTAGCAACTGTGTGTGGCCACTTTGCTGTCCATTTCAAATGTGCTTTCATGTGATAATTTTTAAAACTTTTGTCTTCATTTAATTCTAAAATAAAAATACTGAAATGAATATTTGTTAGTCTTATAATATGCACACATAAAAAGTGACCTTGAACTCACACTTTCAAAATACTCGAGTCATTCATCTCACATGGTTCCTGCAATGCTTGTTTAGATGGGAGTAGGCTTTAATAATTAATAAATTGCCTTAATTTGCTATGTCAATTAAGTATTGCCTAAAGGAAGCAGAGAACCAAACCCTTTAAAAAGCCAATCTGAAGTTCTTAGTTAAAACTCTTACTCTAAATTCACTCCCCATATTCCTTGCTGCAGTTCTCACTCAGCTGAAGATTTGGCTCAGGAGCAGCTCTAGGCCTTTCTATCAAGGAGCACACAAACAAGAAAACAAGAGCTAGCAAATACTCAGAAAAATCAATACTAAAGTCTTCAAGGGGCTTTCATATTTTCTGCCCAGTTCAGATAAATCGTAACTTAATTTAAGAAAAATATTTTTGGAAAACTGCAAATAGGATGCCTTTCAAGGAATTTTTAATGCAATACATCATGGCTATTATAAAAAGAGGTAACCTTCCCGGATTAACTCTCTGCTATGCTGCTTTCCTATTCACTTTGGCAGCAGCACTGTTCACAATATGGCACCAATAAAATATAGAACTACAATCAGAGACAGCAATTTCAATCAAAGTTTCCTGGGGTCTCCTCATAAATCCAGCACCTTTGGAATGTGCTCGTTAAAATGACTTATTTTTTGTAGTTTGATAAATTTTTTATTGCTTAAGTACAGAGTTCAAGTGTAGCTCACAGTCTCCTTTTCTCTATATTCTCAATTATTGCACCTTATAATTACCAGCAGCAATTGAAACTGATTGCTGCTACCACATTATTTTGGTAACAAATGGAAGAAAGCTGTTACTAGCTTTTAAATGCAAGCTATGCTGAAAGTGAGAGCAAGTTTAAAAAAAAGGACACCTTAATAATATCTCTCTAGGTAGCACTGACAAACTTGTATATAAAAATAAGTCTCTTAATTCTGTCTGTCACACCTCAAGCATGGCTGAATGCTGTACATTCACAGATATAATTACAGTTCTCATGTAAATGAGAACATTTGGATGCATCTAAACCATAGGTGTTTGAGAGTAAATCATGTGGATCTTGCAGTACACAGCACCTTAAGAACATGTATTTATTTTGGAGTAGACCAAAATACAGAAATGGTCAAATGTAGCAGTACTTAATGGACATACAACAAAACTACCTGCAAATTCGAATTCTGTTCATTAACGGTTTATAAAATTTGGCCTGCAAGGAACCTTTATGCTTGCATCTCAAACAAAATCATGCAACCAGGAAAAAGCTTACCAGAATGTAACAATAATACCTCATCAAACCTCTAATTAAGATAGAACCATGAAAGAGAGAATGTAACTTCAGAAAACTGGCCTCATCATTATGCTTCTAACTAGATAGCTGAAGTTTCAGAGATGTTCCAGCTCTAAGACCTGATCTTATCAATTTTGAGTCATGATTAGGTTCAGAACAACATAAAACTTGTTTTCCTGGACCTAGCTTGGTTATTGTTCTGCAGTAGAGAAAGTATAAGGAGCCTGGAAAGGTTTCTTTGCTATTTGGCACCAAAATTTCTAGAAGAGTTCAAGAGTTTCTTGCTGCCCTGAAACCTAAATGTTCTCTATTCACGTGAAATTGAAATACCAAACCATATCCTAAATGGAGTCTTAAATGAAACATGATTTCTTAGACAATGGAATCACTGCCAGCATATAGCTAAAAACAAGATTGTCAACATCTACTTTGTCATTAAATCCAACTGGCCACTGTTCCGTAGATGCTGAAAGTATTTTTTTACAGATTATTTTTCCAGAATTCAAAAGAATTGGGGGCATGTGTCCAGTTATTCATGAAACATATACATTATTACTGTCTTCTATAGAAATTTATATAGGTTATATGCAAAAAATGAAAAAAATAGAGCATGCTTTGCTTTTATAGAAAAGCCAAAGCATAAGAGGTTAATTAAACTGTACTAACTTTTTAACTTTTGCTTGCAACTAACCTCAAAAAAACAAAAGTTAGGAGACGTGCCAACCTTGTTCTTATCAACTCACATCGTGTCTAAATACATCAAAATCAAAAGCACTAAAATAAGAACAAAGAATATTCCGTCATCCCTTCATTCTTGATAATTTCAGAGGAATGTTAAGTAACAAAGTGATCCACAGTTTCAAAATCAGTAACAAAAGTAACAAGTGAATGGAAAGTAAAAGCTCCTAGTTACACACCACAGTCTTCAGCCAAAACCTGTGGAAGCCAATGTAAATTCTTCCCATGTTTTACATCAAAGAATTTTTGGAAGGACCAAAAAACAGTTGTGCACTATGAAACACAACAGAGCACTTGCAAATTCAATCACGCGTCTAAATCCTAATTTTATGTTTGCAAAACTGGAAGGCATTAAAAAAATGCAAGGATTTGTTAAAAAAAATAGGAAAAATTACACAAAATTCCTCACATCTTTTAAATAAATATGAAAAAAACTTAAAACTAAAAATGAAATATTTAATGAGTCTGCAACCAAACTCTTCCCCCTCTAATACTGCATTTAAATGGTGTTTAAATTACTAAGAGCCTGCAGAGCCTGTCATACAACAGGTCATTTAACAGAAAACTTCCACCTTTCCCAACTGTGGAAATGTTGGCAAGTCCTCTGCAAAAAACACATTAACAGTACAGCATACTTAGGCAAAATGTATATACTTTCAAGTATATACCGTAATACTTTTATACAAAACCTAATCTAAAATTATCTTTCTAAAGAAAGCAGAGTAGTAAAATCAGCATAAAGCAGAAGCAAGTTTGTATATGACAAATAACACAATAAAGACAGTGACCTCAACTACAATGAAACACTTCAAAGGCTACAGGATGTTCTCTACTTAGAGAACAACAGATAAGCCAGCTGCAGGAAACACAGGTATATTTTGTACCTGTTTTTTGCAGGTATTTATATGGCTGGTCAACTCACACCTCTCAACACTCACCTTCACAGCTGTAACTGTACACAGCAACCGTGGACCTTTCAACCAGATTTTCATCATGGTGCCAGCTCACTGCCATGTTCCCCATTCCAAAATAAGGTTCTTGTTTCAAGTACAGCATTTGTAGTGGATCCATATAATTCAATAAAGTCAAGTTATAAGATGTTCTGTTCTTTAGACTTACATAGTCATCTTCTGGTACACAACTGCTTTGATCTTTTGAAATAGACCCTTTCTCCATAAGAGAAGTTGCAAAATTTTGCTCCCCATCTGTTATGGTGGCATCTTTAATTTTAATTTCTTTGGTCTCAGACAAATTTTGTTCTTGTAACGCCTTGATTGCTTCAATATGCAAGTAGTCGTTAAGTCTCATTAAGGCTTTACAAGCATCATGTATTTGAGGACTGCAATATTTTACATCACAACCTTCAGTAGGCCAAGGGACTGTAAATAATCTTGTGTTCAAGTACTTGTAAGTGCATCCTGGGTTTCCAATTAGTATACGAGACACTGGGGTAAGAAAATCTTTTCCTTTGATCCTTACAAGATCTTGAAAGAAACAATCATGCTTTCGCAAGGTCAGAAAGCCTTCTTGTACCATTTGATGGAGCTCTTCAGGTACTGTATCAGATTTTCTGAAAATCAGCTTGGAATATTTGGTCTCCCACTACAGCAGAAAAAAACCCCAAACACAAACACAACAAAATCATTATTCTTTTTACAGGAACGAAAGTATTTAATATATTCAAGACCAGACCAAGTTCATTGACAGGTTATCAAGGATGAGTCTAGAATATTGTGAAGAAATAAATGCCAGCAGTTGTTACTTTATTTTCTTATCACAATATATGGCACAAACTGGATATGTACCAGTGGACTGTAATGAAAGAGTATCACCAGGGCAAATCTCTAAATAAATACATAAATAAATGAATCTGAGGATCCTAACTGAAATCAATAGTACATATAAACTCCCCTGATGAATTTGTAGATAACATTACCTTTAAGTGTATAAACAACAGACTACTGAGCAGTAACAAAGTGACTCCTCTATTTGCAATGGTTACAAAGACTGTCTGTCTCATTCTTATGCACAGAATTCTACCAGGCTAGATGATAAACTGAAATTTTTGCAAAAATACCAAAATGAAAACACACATTTTCAAAAAAAGGCCAAAATTCTGCTGTACTGCACCTCTGTCTTCAAAACAGTCCTTGACACACTGGCCCTTTCTATTTTCACACTCATCAGTGCAGGCCAGTTAAGTCTCACATTTTATACAAAAGTTTCCCGCTTATAGAAAATAAAATTTACAATTTTATTTTCCTCCCCATCTCCCCACCAGTACTATCCTTTTTCCCCTTATCCTCTTCTGACCACATCAGCTGGAGTTCAGAATCCAGCAGTGTGTGGAGGCAACAGCTCCCAGCAAGGTGTAATGCTGCTAATCCACAGTATCTTGGTTTGTATGCAAAATATTGCTTGCCACTCCAGGAAGGCTAGGATAATTTTATTTTGTTAATCTGGTTTTCTAAGGAAGTGAGTATCATAATCACACCTTTTATTGGTTGCCTGTCAATCTGCTTTAACTACTGCCGAGACTGCGCAGCAAACTGGACAAAGACCAGTGAATAAGTTCTTAAATAGACTAAGTTCCTATGTGTTTCATTCAAATTAATAGAAAATAAAAGAAACAGCAAACTAGTGCCATCGACCTATGATCCATCTGTGGGCTTCTTTTGGTATAACTCAAAACAACTTTACTAGTACTATCTACTTCCAAAACAGATTTGAACATGCCTTTCAGGAAAATAACTTAAAAATTTATTTAAAAATCCAGAAAAGGTGCCTTGTAAAACACAAACCAAGCTGTAAGTCAGTATGCACAATTTCTACTGCATGAAAACAGACTTTTGCATCATAATGCTAAGTTTCCTACAACAACACTGAAGAGGTGGATTTATCGGTTTGTTTCTACTAAAGAGGAGCATAAAAGGAAGTATATTTTTAAAATAATGATGACATGTAATATATGTGTTTATCTATAAACACTGCCACCATTTCTTGTTAAATTTTTATAGTGAAGAGAACTCCCATTTTTGCACATTCTCATGGTTTCCAAAAACTAGCTTCCGGCAGAAAGGAAAAGTATTCTGTATCTGGAGACGATAATAATTTCTGACAAGAGTATTTACATGCTTAACTTTACATACTCAAGGCTTGAGAATAGTCCCAGATACCTGTCTGAAGGTCCCTGTAAAATCCCCAGCACAGAACACTGGATCTCATCTTTGGTTAAAAGAACTGAATATAAACTTGATAAACACAATTTGCCTGAGCTTGCCAAAAGCCTGAAACCCTGATTCTCTTAGAGGTCCTGAACTGTCCCCTTTGTTTCAGTCAGTGCTTAGCATCTGGAGCCATGGACAGTACAGTGAAAAAATCCTTAAAGAGTAACTACCAAAATTAGTAACTGCAAATGTTAAGGTTTTACAGCTGTTGGCTACAGTCAGATGTACAGGGTGATGGGATTCACCGTTCTTTCACAACCACACTTAATAATGACAGAACATTATTATGTTGTGATATATAAGGATTATTACTGCATGATTTGTTTCATTATGTAAGCAATATGTACAAAATAGTGAGCACTACAAGTCCTAGATAATTATCTCAGTATTTCTTTAAATAATTCTACATATTGGACATGTTAACCAATTATCATGTTACATATGCTCTTGTAGCATGTTTTAATGTCTTCATTACCACATATTTTTAAACCATTTAATTTACTGAATTTCTGAGATTTACCACACACATGAAATTCCAAGCAATTATTACAAAACAGAAGGAGGGAAATAAAAATATGATGCAAAGCAATCAAATGCCTGAAATCATGCACTAAGAAAGGAGGAACAGATTTTACAAAGGTCACAACATAGTATTCTCCTCCTGAACTGCAGAAGTACTGTCTGCCCACCAAGTCAGAGGAATGTTACTTTTTGGGTTGTCTTTTAAGATTATATGCTTAAGAACTATTCTATAATTGAGTTTTATACTGTATACACTTAGGATTCTACCTAAAACAACCCAACAAACCAACTCTGATATCTCATAAGAAATCAGGAAGTGGCAACACATTTCCAACATGTCACATGAAACAGTCTTCTTCAAATCTCCAACCAGTCATTGTGCTATGTCTTATGTAAGTAAAGCATTAAGGGATCAGAACACAGGGTGAATGATGGGTTCACACTGGGCACACCTTGTTGTTTCAGAGGGATGAGGAAGGGGGATTAATCATGTACGCTGTGTTATAACACTGACAGCAAGTATTAAAGGCCAATTCATTGTTCACTCTGAAAGATTTAGGTACATTAACTGGCAAATACAGGACTGAAAAAGCCCATTTGATGCTTCATATGAATGTTACATACAAATATACACATGCTGTCATTTCTATTGGTTCTCAACACAGAGATTCACCCTACAGGAAGGATGACTCAAGAAATAGAATAAAGTTAGAAATTAACAGTAAGGACCCTTGATAAGCAAACTGCTACGTAAATAATGAAATTACAGTTTGTAATTTAGGTATTTGCAAATTGCCTTGTTAACCAACTTCATCTTTTTCACAACTGGCTTTAAACATTACATTGTTTCAGCCTGTTATTTGGAACCCATTTCTAAAATTCTTCATGAGGCAAGATGCATCAAAAAAAGATGTCAGTGAAGTTTTACTTATGATGGGACTTCATAGTTTTGTTTAGACTGTACATCTCCATACTTAACAGGGTATTGTAGAGTTTATTACTTGCATCCTGCCTAACTTTTCCAACATGTTCTTCTTCAAGAAAGTTTTATTTCTTCAGTGCAAACAGCCATTTTAATTTTAACTAAGTACAGTTAAAAGAAATACATTACCAACTGATGGAAATCAGCATCGGCTGGTGTCATATATGGAAGTTTGTTCTCTCCAAGTTGTTCAAGAAGCTTTTTTTTCTGTTTTGGATGGATAAAATTGAAACAGAAAATTAGAATAAAAAACAAGATATAAACAGCCGAGTAAAAAATGAGTTGTATTAAAAAGACAGTCTTGGGCATACTCTAAAATGTTTCCTGAAATGAGCGTATGAAGGAAAAAGAGAACATCATTTACAGCACAAAGCCCCTACAACCTGACAATGTTTAAAATGCCATACTCAAGACATGGCATCCCAGCAGGCAGCCACAACACTGGTTTGATGTTGGGAGTGTGCTAAGAACCAGGTGACTGTGAAGAGAATCATAGAATCACAAGCATTCCCTGTCCCCTTGTTCTCTTTTACTCCCTTTTTACTACTGCTTCAGACTGAAAGTATTGCCAATGTTTATTTAACACGACCACTAAGAAATTGCTCAAATAAATGCCTAATTTTACCCCAAGTGTATTTTCCATTTTTTAATAATTAAATTAGAATTTTCATATGCATTATACATATAATTGTGAAGCTAAAAATGTGGAAACTGCACAAGACCCCTGCAACTTGTCATCAGATTTTTTAAATCAAACAATCCCAATCCATGACAAGTCCATCCACATTTATCTACCTGCAGTCAAACTCAACACTAGCTCAAGCTGATACAAGTACAGATTAACAGTGTAAAATTGTTACGGTGGAAGCATTTGGCTGGAAAATTAATAGTTTCCTTTATTTCTTCTTTTAGCTTGCAAGGATAGTTTATTTATAAACTCTGATAATTAATAAATATTTACTAGAAAAAATGCAACTGAAAGATCATAAAACTATATCTATTATAAAGCTTGAACATTTCAGAAAACATGATTCAAATTCTCATATTTATTACAATATTTTAAACTACATAAATACTATCACATGAAATAACTGAAGCTGCAGCTTGCTTAATACTTTTATGTTGTAAGAGCCAATAAAAACGGAATATACTTTTTTTAAGAATTAAGGATATAATACAAAGGAAAATGGAGTAAGTTGTAACAACTACATAGACATCACAGCAAATTGATGATTCCATAGACAAGAGAACTTATTGTCATCTTCTTGTTAATTCTCCTTTTTATAATACTTTTGGATTGCATAAACATAACTTCCCTATTCTAGCAAACCTATTTTAAAAAGGAAGAAAGAAATACTACATGTAGTAACTAATTCCTGGCTTACAGCAAACACAAATAAGGAAAGCTTAACTATGAAGAGTGTTACTGAGTATTTTATTCTGGGACACTAAATTTTTTTCACGTTTAAGCATCAAGGAAGATGACAGAGGCTTAAAGTAATGAGGAAGTACAGATTTTAAGGTATACAACTAACATATCAGTCAAACTAAAATCAGAGCAAGTTGTTCTCACTCATCTCCACACTCGCACTCTGCTGATCACTGACTCTTAACTAGTCTGAGATAGACGAACCAGCAGTGTAATTCCTCTAGGTCTTGAGTTTTCTTCGGGGACAGCCTGTTATGTTGACATGAAGTCATTGGTGAAACCCAGCACAGCGTAACTTCAGATGAAGATGGCAATAAATGACATGCTAATTTGCTGCATATTCTAAACCAGTAACACTTCTCTGTTATAAAAAGTTTGCTGCAATTTTATTACATGAAATCACTGAAAACATTAGATTGGCTTTATCTCTAAGATAAATTTTATTCTGCAGTTTAATGAGATTTAATAGATTTCAAGACTGACTCACATCCATGGGAAAAAAAGAGGTGGGAAGAGAGATTTTGACAATTTCTCTGTCAAATACCAGCCTTGTGGCAAAAAGCACACAACATTAAAATGCACTCTTGTGTATAGGCAGTACTAGTTCACATTTGATTGTCAGATCTGGCTAAGTGCTGCTCTTCAGCTTGATGTACAGACTAATACACACAGCTGGGTGGGTGGTATAACACACTGCTCATCTCTTATTCAAGAAGCTGTCACACAGATGTCAAAAATACCAAGCTACTCACAAATACCTCCAAAAGGTAAAAAAAACCAAAACAACAACAAACAAACCCCCAAAAAACAAAAAACTCACAAAAACAAAACCGAAAACCTGAAGATATACCAGCTACTCTAAGCACTGTTATAAGCATTGCTTCTAGGCTCTTCCAACACATAAACCCATAAAAACATTTTTAATGGCCTCTACTTCAATATATCAGGCATCTTAGAATGCATTTTTCTAAATCTGTGGTTTACAATTTTAAAATTCAGTGTAACAGTTGATTCAAGTACCAGTATTACGCTTCTTACACTTCAACAGCCAATATGCTTTTAATATATACCTTAGCAATGCCAATTTGTGAAAGACAATCTTATGTGACATCCCTAAAATGTCATTATGCACTCTGCACTGCTCAAGAAACCTTATAAGTATTGTAAATGGGCCTTCAGAAAGCAGAAAATATTTGCAAATACCTTCTCTTGTGGGCTGCTGTGAATGTTAGTGCATCTGTTATACTCAACTCTGCTAACTGCCATGAACAGCAGAAGCCCAACTTCAGAGCCTGTGATAAAGTTCCTGCAAATATCAACAATCTCTCCTCATTTACTAGTAATAAACAGGTTTATTAATGATATGGTTGTAAAATTCAGCAAGTGGAATAGTAATAATTGGTACCTCTCAATCACTATACATAGCTTTTTCCTCCTTTATTCATGACAATATAAGCAGCGTGTTACATTGTACGGAGCAGGAGAACTAAGATACACAACTAACACACACCAAAGCCATGTGCCAAATTGCAGTTATGTCACACACCCACTGTTTCCTATTTTCAAATTAAGTGGTATAAGGGGAAAAATGTGACTCAATGACATTCAAATTAGTAGACTGCCAAAACCCATGACTGTTACTCATTCTGGAGAAGCCCATCTCACTATTCCTCCTACAAGCCTTGTTGAGAAAATATGGTATTTTGAAACTTCCAACAGCCACATTCCCAGCCTCTGAGGGGATGCAAGCAGCTTTTTTTATCAGCAATTGATTACTCACGTTCACCTTACAATCAGCATCAGACAGAATGAAGCAAAAGGCTAGTCACATGCTATGGAAAAGACACATGTAACTAGACAATATAAACAAAAACTGAGTATCACACTAACTTCCTATTTTCATTCAACAATCCTGAAGTATTTACTACTTACAAATATTTCATATACACATCACACTAGGGAACAACCATTTTCAATGCTCTGCAGATGGCTGAGAACTGGCTGGACTCTTCAATTTACCTTTCAGGCAAGAAAACAGCACAACCAGCAAAACAATTCTGTGTACTCATATACACCTTTCCCTGCAAAATAATTGAATTTTCTGATTCACTACAGTGACCTAAAGTCCCAACTAATGTTGCCTTTATTTCATCAGTCCAATGATTTAGGTTTTTTTTATAAAGCAAAGATTGAAAATGCTCTTCATTTTTACTCCCCTTCACTCCCAACAATCTTAGAGCAGAGGTAAAAGAAGAGGGAAAATACATTGCTAGAGGGGAGAGTGCAGAAGGCCAAGTAGCTTTGAAACATTGTCTCCATTCACAGCCTACAAAAGCCCTTCTGCTTAAACTCCTTTCATTAGAAGTTCTTAAACATTGGCAATTTTTTTTCATCCTAAAATGCTATGCTGATTGCCTGCTGCAGTTTTTACACTTTTGAGTATACTGACTCAGGACTCGAATTAGTAAAACACAGACATGCAAGTCTTCTGGTCTTCAATGCAATCCACTGTATTTGCAGAAATTTCTGTGGCAGCTACTAAAAAAAAGGGCCTCTATTCAAAGTATAAGAAAGTATCCTTTCGACCCTAAATAAAGTTTTTTCTAAAAGTCTTATGTTTTCCAAAAGGGTATCAGGTTTAGCAAGGCACTTCCGTCATGCATATCGTCATGAAAGATGTGAATAACAATTTCAGATGCAAACTTTTGTTTTTCCAAAAATTCCCTTCCTTTCTTCCCCATTTCTCTTTTATCCTGTTTGGTTTTTTTAATTAACAATAAGAAAATGTGGATTTCTTTCAAGTCATGCATCAAGAAAAGAGCTAGTGATCTGATGTGAGAGCTTGATGGATGCCAAAAAAGGAGGAATATTAAATACTTTATATAGTAAAAATTTCATTACACAATACTAAGACCTCATATAGTAAAAAGCCACCACTTCACAGAAACTTCCACAACCTTGCCTCCCAACTTGTCTTACATTTTTAATAAGCAAACAACAAAAAAAAATTAAACAATACAAACCCACCAAATTTAGGGTAGTTACTTAAGGTATGAGTATAATATTGAAGTTGACATTTGTTTAAACTACAAGGCTTTCAAAGTATTAGCTATTAAAACTTCATAGCAACCAAGACCATTCAAGTGTCCCATTAAAACAAGTTATTTACGAAATAAACCTACAGTAATAATAATAAAAAAAACATTCTTAATGTACTATTACAGCTTTTATTTCTCCGTTATCATGTATATCAGATTTCAGAAATTATTTCCTTCAAATTATTTCTGTAAACTCCACTCATTAAGAGATCTTCAGGGACTGGTTGACTTTACAGCACCATTTAGTCACATGAAAAAGTTCTATTTCCAGGCTACCCCTCACTGCACTCAAGTCTTACCAAAAGCCTTGTCTGTGCTACATTCTTTCTCTAGTCCAGCCTGACAAAAATACTGGCAGACACAAGCATGCTGTACTGCATTTTGCATACTATAGCTCTACCCATAATACTGTATGCCCAAAATATTTGCATATTAAGGACAAAACCTCACACTATTCTACATAAGCTCATACTAAAATTATCTATTACTCTGGTTATTCAACATAACCATTGTGCATCTTGCTCTCCCACTGAACAAACCAGTCCATTTACAGAAGAACTGGATGCAGCTCAAATGATCTGATCATGAACAATCTACTGTAATGCAAAGACCTGAGGCCTAAAACCAGTATTTGCAACTGAGCAGCTGTCTAAAAGACCGTTTGATACTCTTTCCT